GTCAGGTAATGGGAACAAGCCCATTATCTGTCTCAGTGCTGGTGGAAATGATATTGGGAAGGGTAGGAGAGAAGAGCTGCTAGATAAGTACAGGTCAGCTATAGATTTCATTAAGTCTAAGGGAGGGATCCCAATCATATGTAGCATCTTGCCTAGAAGGGGAGTAGGAAATGAATGGTTGTCTAGAGCAATTGGTGTAAATTGCTGGCTAGACAGATACTGCAAGGAACTTGCAATCCCATTCATTGACAACTGGAACAACTTTTATGGCAAACATGATATGTATGCAAGGGATGGGGTTCATCTCTCTGGGGCAGGGGTGGTAGCACTTGCAGACTCGATTGAGAAGGCCATTGGTGAAATGCCTATGATTTTAAAAATGATGGAAGATAGAGGTATGGTGTGGTGTGGGAAACAAGCAGGTTGCAACACTAGGGTTGGAAACAGTAAATGTATAAAAGGCATTCAGCATGAAGTTATAAATAAAGACAATAGAACAGGTCAGAAAACAAAGGGGGACAGCAGAGGGCAGCAAGGGACTAGCTCCCTTAAGGTTTACTATACTAATAGCAGGAGTGTTAGAAATAAGATAGATGAGCTAAGATTAATTGCAAGTGCAGGAAACATAGATATTATTGCTATAACAGAGACCTGGCTCAATCTGAAAGATAGAGAGATGCCATCTGAATGTCACATACAAGGCTATAAATTATTCCACACTGACAGGGTCAACAGGAAAGGTGGTGGAGTAGCGATGTATGTCAGAGACAATTTAAATTGTTGTGTTAGACAAGATATTAAATTAGAAGCGTCAGCCACTGAATCTGTTTGGTTACAGCTTCTCGAGGGCCGAGAAAAACTAATTTTGGGTGTGATTTACAGGGCCCCAAATCTTGATAGGGAGTGCAGTAAACTTCTATGGGACGAAATTCGTAAGGCATCTACATACGAAAATGTTGTGCTAATGGAGACTTCAACTATAGACAGATTGACTGGAGCAATTTGACAGGAAATTTAGAGTCGGGTGACTTTCTTGATACGATCCAGGATTGTTTTTTAAAACAGTTTGTGACAGAGCCAACTAGGGGAAATAACCTCCTTGACTTGGTTCTTGCCAGTAGGGAAACACTAATTAATAATCTTGAGGTTAATGATGAGCTTGGGGAGAGTGATCACAAATCACTCAGTTTTAACATATCATGGAATTCCCCTAATAATGGCAATCAAGTCTCCGTCCCTGACTTTCGCTTGGCTGATTTCATAGGACTGAAAAATTACTTAGGTGGGCTGAACTGGAATGACCTGACTAGGGGTCAGGTAGGTGGTGATGGTTGCCGATATGATGCTTTCCAGGGCATAGTTCTAGCTGCTCAGTCAAATTATGTTCCAAATAGGGAAATCAGATCAAACAAAAATGATCCTAAATGGATGAACAATAGATTAAAAATATCTGATTGGTCAAAAGAGAGGCATATATAGGCAAATCAAAAGAGGAGAGGGGCAATTAAGAAATCGATATATTCAGTTAAAGAGAGAAATAAAAAAGGGAATTAGAAAAGCAAAAAGAATTATGAGGTTAAAGTTGCAAGAGAATCGAAGACTAACCCAAAAGGATTCTTTCAGGTATACAGAAGTAAGATCAGGGACAAGATAGGCCCACTCAAAAGTTCCTCGGGTCAGCTCACTGACAGTGATAAGGAAATGTGTAGAATTTTTAACACATACTTCCTCTCAGTTTTTACACAGGAGGATACCAGTGATATTCCAGTAATGATAAATTATGTAGAACAGGACGATAATAAACTGTGCACTATTAGGGTCACAAGTGACATGGTCCTTAGGCAAATAGATAAATTAAAACCTAACAAATCCCCAGGCCCTGATGAACTGTATGCAAGGGTTCTAAAGGAATGTAAAGAGGAGCTTAGCACACCTTTGGCTAATCTTTTCAACATATCACTACAAACTGGCATGGTGCCAGATAAGGGGGAAAATGGCAAATGTGATACCTATTTTCAAAACAGGTGGACAGGTCCTTAGCTTCGAACTATAGACCAATAAGCCTAACCTCCATAGTGGGGAAAAATTTTTGGAATCAATAATTGCCGAGGCAGTTCGTAGCCACCTTGAAAAGCATAAATTAATCAACGAATCTCAGCATGGTTTTACAAAGGGACGTTCCTGCCTTAAAGAATTTATTAACTTTTTCACTAAGGTATTTGAGGAGGTAGATCATGGTAACGAATATATATTGTGTATATGGACTTCAGTAAGGCTTTTGACAGGTCCCACATCAGAGACTATTGAGGAAAATTAAAGCACATGGAATAGGAGGAGAAATTTTTTCCTGGATAGAGGCATGGTTGACAAATGGCAGCAGAGAGTTTGCATAAATGGGGAGAAATCAGAGTGGGGAAGCGTCACGAGCGGTGTTCCACAGGGGTCAGTGTTGGGGCCCCCTGCTGTTCACAATCTACATAAACGACATAGATGAGGGCATAAAGAGCGACATCGGCAAGTTTGCCGATGACACCAAAATAGGCCGTCGAATTCATTCTGACAGGACATTCGAGCACTCCAGGAAGATTTGAATAGACTGATGCAGTGGTCGGAGAAGTGGCAGATGCAGTTTAATATAGACAAATGCAAAGTTCTAAATGTTGGACAGACAATAACCATGCCACATATAAACTAAATAATGTAGATCTTAATATTACGGATTGCGAAAAAGATTTAGGAGTTCTGGTTAGCAGTAATCTGAAACCAAGACAACAGTGCATAAGTGTTCGCAATAAAGCTAATAGAATCCTTGGCTTCATATCAAGAAGCATAAATAATAGGAGTCCTCAGGTTGTTCTTCAACTCTATACATCCTTGGTTAGGCCTCATTTAGATTATGCTGCACAGTTTTGGTCACCGTATTACAGAATGGATATAAATTCTCTGGAAAATGTACAAAGGAGGATGACAAAGATGATCCCATGTATCAGAAACCTTCCCTATGAGGATAGACTAAGGGCCCTGAAACTGCACTCTCTAGAAAGACGTAGAATTAGGGGGGATATGATTGAGGTTTATAAGTGGAAGACAGGAATAAATAAAGGGGATGTAAATAGTGTGCTGAAAATATCTAGCCTAGACAGGACTCGCAGCAATGGTTTTAAGTTGGAAAAATTCAGATTCAGGAGGGATATAGGAAAGTACTGGTTTGGTAATAGAGTTGTGGATGAGTGGAACAAACTCCCAAGTACCGTTATAGAGGCCAGAACGTTGTGTAGCTTTAAAAATAGGTTGGATAAATACATGAGTAGATGTGGGTGGGTGTGAGTTAGACCTGATAGCTTGTGCTAACAGGTCGGTTGCCGTGTTCCTCCCTTAAGTCAGTGTGACCTGACCTGACTAGGTTGGGTGCATTGGCTTAAGCCGGTAGGGACTTGGACCTGCCTCGCATGGGCCAGTGGGCCTTCTGCAGTGTTCCTTCGTTCTTATGTTCTTATGTTCTTATCTAATACACACCAACTGGTGGGTCTAATATACATTCACAAATATGGTGATGATATTTATACAATTATTACAGTATTGCATAACAGTAAATCTTCTATTTTTTGGTGTGAATAAAAATTCATTATGTGAATAAAAAATCAAAATGGAATTTATTTGTAAAGCCTCAAAACATAACTAATGAACAGAGGAAATGTTAGTTTAGTTCCAGGAATATCTACATTGTTTATTCTGGACCCCATTTTGAAATTGGAATATTTTGAACTTTGTGTTAAATTGGCCAAATTAACAATTTCCGATCACTTTATTTCATAGTTGAAACAGTTGACTTGGCGATTTCTTGTGCTCAATCGATAGAATAGAAGTAATACTAGTGAAATAGCTAAGAATTTGGTTGACTGGAATAATGTAATTGGCCTAAACTGGGAGTCAAAGTTGGCAAAATTGCCGATTCGTAAATATCGCTGACACATCAAAATTCGCGAGAGCATAATTTCGTCAATTTTCCATCAAATTTTGTACTTTTTGTTTTATTACCTTCACAAAAAGATTCTCTACCACTTCAGATTTGGGCCTTGGACCCTGAAGGGGTTAATTTGCGTGAAATTGGCCAAATTGCCAATTTCTGACCACTATATTGGGTAGTTCAAATTGGTAAATGGGCGGTTTCTTGTACTCAGCTGATAGATAAAATTGAGATCTAAAGAAATAGCTATGAATTTGGTCAACTGGAACAGCGGAATTGACTGCAAACAGGGCTCAAAGTCGGCGAATTCGCCAATATGCATATGTTGCCAAGACTGCTAACTTCGCGGGAGCGTAATTCCCTGAGTTTTCAACCAAATTTCAAACTTTTGGTGTCATTACCATCGGGAAAAGATTCTCTATCATTTCATAAGAAAAAATAATTTTATTTTTTTTTTCAAAAATTTATCGACTTAGAATGACAGTTTCAGAAAGGGGCCTGCGACAGTCAAAGGGTTAAAAACGTATATGCACTTTAGGTTTTCACACGCCTATTTTCCGCACTCTGGCCCCTCTGGGACCGCCAGATACACGCAAATTTAGCGGAGCTCCAACACACGTGACTTCCCCCGGCAGTAACTCAGCAGAGTTCTGATGCAAAATTAAAAATTAAAATTAGAGTATATGAAACATTTGAATTAGGATCCAAAACTTTTTGAACATGACATGAAACAAACAGGTAAAACCTGAAAACTAACTTGATTCAGCTTGAGCTTCCTTCGAGGTAGTACCTTGATGTTGATGATGGAATCTTGATCCAAGGAATTTTATTAACTCTTCCCTTCTTTGAATGAAATCTCATCACCTCCCATTTCCTGAGTACTGTATGACCCCTGCTTCCCTTTTATATAATATCTACTTGAACTATAGAAAGTCCTCACTAGTTTCACTTGAGCACTGATACTATAACATTTTCCAAGTTGAGTATCACTTCCATGAATTTGAAGTTTTTAATGAAAAAGTTTACATTGCAGGGAATGTTACAGCAGCTTATATCAGGACCAGCATTGGCTATGGAAATAACAAGCATACATGGAACTGAAACACCAACCAAATTCAGAGAATTTGTTGGCCCATCTGATCCAGTAAGTTGTATTATGATGCTAATAATACAGTATTTATTGGAGTATTATAAATTCAGCATAGTTTTTAATGTATAATTGAAGTAAATTGGCATAGGCAAAGATCAGATGCAGCATATAATCTTTTATCACACCAGATGTCACCACCAACTTAAGGTGGGAGATGGCCAGTGTGTAAAAAAAAAAAAATATTCATCATATAAGAAAGGGATTGAATGAATAATGGTGAATGTATTAACTTTTTTGGATCACCCTAACCTGGTAGGAGATGACTTGCATGGCCATTTTTACTTTTTGGCATTAAACAGAAATCTACTTTCACTGCCTATCACTAAGATATGATAATTATCTAGTCTTGGTCATGAAGTTTCTGTATTGCTCTGGGCCTTACCTCATAGAGCAACCAGCTTGATGTACAGTGAACCCTCGCATAACGCTATTAATCCGTTCCTGAGAGCTCAATGTTAGGCGAAATTATCGTTATGCAAATTAATTTTCCCCATAAGAAATAATGGAAATCAAATTAATCCGTTCCTGACACCCAAAAGTATGAACATTTTTTTTTTTTACCACATGAAATATTAATTTTAATACACACAAACTGAAGAAGACATGCACAGTTACATGACACTTACCTTTATTGAAGATCTGGTGATGATTGATGGGATGGGAGGAGGGGAGAGTGTTGATGGTCTTAGTGTTTAGAAGGGGAATCCCCTTCCATTAGGACTTGAGGTGTCAAGTCCTTTTCCAGGGCTACTTCCCTTCTTCTTTTAACGCCACTAGGACCAGCTTCAGAGTCACTAGACTTCTGTCGCACAACATATCTGTCCATAGAGGTCTGTACCTCTCGTTCCTTTATGACTTTCCTAAAGTGGTTCACAACACTGTCAGTGTACAGGTTGCCAACACGGCTTGCAACAGCAGTCTGAGGGTGATTTTTATCCATAAAGGTTTGCACTTTAAGCCACATTGCACAGATTTCCTTAATCTTTGAAGTAGGCAACTTCTTCAATTTCTCTCTTCCCTCCTCCGAAGCAGTTTCCTCAGATCTGCCCTCTTGCTGGTGAAGATGATCTAGAAGCTCATCAGTGGTTAGTTCTTCATTGTCCTCCTCCACCAACTCTTCCACATCCTCCCCACTAACCTCCAACCCCAAGGACTTCCACAATACCACAATTGATTCTTTAACTGGCATACGCCTCTCAGGGTTACCCTCAAATCCTTCAAAATCCCTTTGGTTTACACATTCTGGCCACAGTTTCTTCCAAGCAGAGTTCAAGGTCCTCTTAGTCACTCCCTCCCAAGCCTTACCTATAAGGTTTACACAATTGAGGATATTAAAGTGATCTCTCCAAAACTCTCTTAGAGTCAATTGAGTTTCTGAGGTCACTACAAAGCACCTTTCAAACAGAGCTTTTGTGTACAGTGTTTTGAAGCTTGCAATAACCTGCTGGTCCATGGGCTGCAGGAGAGGAGTGGTATTAGGAGGCAAAAACTTGACCTTAATGAAGCTCATGTCCCCACAAATTTGCTCTGCCAAGTCTGTAGGATGACCAGGAGGCACTTAAGGTCTAATTTCTTTTCATTTAGGTAATTTTTCACATTGGGGGCAAATGCTTGGTGTAACCAGTCATAGAAAAAGTCCCTAGTGACCCATGCCTTATTGTTTGCCCTCCACAGCACACACAAATTAGCCTTGAGGATATTCTTTTGCCTGAATGCTCTGGGAGTTTCAGAGTGATACACTAATAAAGGCTTCACTTTGCAATCACCACTAGCATTGGCACACATTAACAGAGTAAGCCTGTCTTTCATAGGCTTATGTCTTGGGAGTGCCTTTTCCTCCTGAGTAATGTAGGTCCTGCTTGGCATTTTCTTCCAAAACAGGCCTGTTTCGTCACAATTAAACACTAGTTCAGGTTTCAGTCCTTCACTGTCTATGTACTCCTTGAGTTCCTGCACATATTTTTCAGCTGCTTTGTGATCCGAACTGGCAGCCTCACCATGCCTTATCACACTATATATGCCAATATGCTTCTTAAATCTCTCAAACGAACCTTTGCTGGCCTTAAATTCACTCACATCATCACTAGTTGCAGGCATTTTTCTAATTAAATCCTGATGCAACTTCCTAGCTTTTTCACTTATGATCGCTTGAGAGATGCTATCTCCTGCTATATGTTTTTCATTTATCCACACCAATAAGAGTCTCTCAACATCTTCTATCACTTGCAATCTCTGTTTCAAAAACACAGTTGCACCTTTGGCAAGAGCAGCTTCCTTGATTGCCGTTTTCTTGGACACAATAGTAGCGATGGCTGATTGGGGTTTACTATACAACCTGGCCAGCTCGGAGACACGTACTCCACTTTCATACTTAGCAATGATCTCTTTCTTCATCTCCATAGTAATTCTCACCCCTATTCCTGTAGGGTTGGCAATAGAAGCTTTCTTGTGATCCATAGTCACTTATTTTGCAGATGAAATCACCAAAAACGCTGTAATAATACGAAATGTTCCAATTGTATGCTTGGATGTTACCGCGGAGGCTGGCTTGTAAACAATGCCACCGGTGGAACATGTGAGGCTGGCTCAGGCCGCACATAGACGCATCTCGGACGAATAGCATTGAGCGAGTTTTTTAGCGCTATGCGAGGGAAAATTTTAGCGATAAAATGTATCGCTATGTGGATTTAACCCTTTCAGGGTCCGTCCCGTAGATCTACGGCTTTAAGGTGAGTGTCCAAACCGTAGATCTACGCCATGAGCTCAGCTCACTCTGATAAACTGTGAGTGGTACATTTGGGCCTAGATATGAGAGAGTACATCTATGTGGTATGTGTGCACCACATAAAACAGATCCTTCAGCACACTGTGTATAATGAGAGAAAAAAACTGAAATCATTATTTTTCGATTAAAACAGCAACTTTGCAGTGTTTTTTATAGTTGTATTTGCAATTTCTTGGTCTTATTTGATAGAATGGAAGACATATTACAGAAATAGAGATGATTTTGATTGGTTTTAGCAATGGAAATGGCTTGAAAATGAGCTCAAAGTAGCGGAAATGTTAAATTTTTGCCGATATTCAAGAGTAAACAAACGACCTCTCACGTCTAATACACGTCAGCTGGTGGGTCTAATATACATTCACAAATATGGTGATGATATTTATACAATTATTACAGTATTGCATAACAGTAAATCTTCTATTTTTTGGTGTGAATAAAAATTCATTATGTGAATAAAAAATCAAAATGGAATTTATTTGTAAAGCCTCAAAACATAACTAATGAACAGAGGAAATGTTAGTTTAGTGCCAGGAATGCCTACATTGTTTATTCTGGACCCTATTTTGAAATTGGAATATTTTGAACTTTGTGTTAAATTGGCCAAATTAACAATTTCCGATCACTTTATTTTGTAGTTGAAACAGTTGACTTGGCGATTTCTTGTGCTCAATCGATAGAATAGAAGTAATACTAGTGAAATAGCTAAGAATTTGGTTGATTGGAATAATGTAATTGGCCTAAAATGGGAGTCAAAGTCGGCAAAATCGCCGATTCGTAAATATCGCTGACACATCAAAATTCGCGAGAGCATAATTTCGTCAATTTTCCACCAAATTTTGTACTTTTTGTTTTATTACCTTCACAAAAAGATTCTCTACGATTTCATAAGAAAAAAATAACAATTTTTTTTTTTTTAAATTCTTGGACACTGGTGCGTGACTCCAGATTTGGGCCTTGGACCCTGAAAGGGTTAACATTATGTGATGCCAACGTTATGCGAGGGTCCACTGTATTTCAAAATGTTATAGCTTCTGTGGTTTGTATGACACTTACTTTATGTTTTAGTGAGTCATAATTAAAATTATTAAAAGTTCCAGCTCAATGCACGTGAAGATAACGTGTAATAATGTTAGTGAGAAGCCACTTGGGGGGGGGGGGGAAGGAAGCACAGCTAAAAGAATTGTATATTTCAGTTTCAGCAACTCTTCAGCCAAAGGAGATCTTAAATTGAAGATGTAATACACACATCTCTCTCTACCTGTTTCATCTGTCTCTCCAAATTCTTTCTCATTTTTCATCAATTAATATTTATGACATAATCCAAACATTGCACCTTTGCATCATTACAAAATTAAAAGTTACACTCTGTGTATACAAGAATACAAATTTGTTTTCCAAGCAGACATAATGGTATAACAGAGATTAATACAAGTTGTGTCATACATGGAAAGACCCATAGTTATGCAGTGTATTTTGGGCAGACTGAAGAGAATGCACATCCAGAAATAATTTGACAGAATAGTTAAGGTTATTTAAATGATGATTGTGATGTTACTAAATTGTCTGATGATAATGACCACTCTAAAACAGTAATGTCAAAATGTGGGAACAGTAACACATAAAAGTGCATGAAGTTTGTACTCGGGTTAAGTTGAATTTATGGGACATTGAAGAGGTATTTGTTTCTTATATATTGTCTGTGTGTTCTGTTGCAGCTCTCTGAGAATAGCTTTTGGGCTGGGTTTATATTTGTATTGATTGTCTTGTATACATAGTATGCACAGTAGCAAGTGTGGCTGATTTGTATGCTGAATAAATTTAAATATTTGAGAAGTAGGGGTATGTGTTGTCTGGAACTTGATCGAGTGATCACTCTGATAGCAGCTTTTTGTCGAGTTACTATTGGTTTTAGATAATTTGCTGTTGTAGATCCCCATGTACAAATATCATATGTGAAGTAAGGATATATTAGAGAAAAGGACAGAGTGAATAATGATGTTTGGAAAGAATGCCCACTGTTTTTAGGTACACCCACCATCTGACTTATGACCGAGCTTGGTCCCGACCAACTGGTCATAAGTTGAAATGGACGTAAGTCGAACCTTACTACTGAATATCAACATCACATTTTTGTAATGACTTTATTTTATTGTTTTATTCTGGTACGTATTTCATTTTTTACATTACTTTTTATGCTGTGAGTACTGTG